CGCAAGGGGAGCTTCCCTTCTTGGAGACGGTTGGCAACTCTGTATTCTCTCTTCTTGGACGGAGTCAGCGAACCCACCACCGGCTCCAGCCCTATCGGCGTCTTCGCCATTGCCTGACGACCGGACAAACCGACGATCAACAACACACAACTACACTAGGGCTTAGAAGTAACTACAATCATGCCGATCAAAAAAAAAAGAAGTAACTACAATCAGCGCACTTGAAGAATAAAAAGGGCATTCTTTAAATGGGTTTGTAGGGGAGACAGAGTTGGGCATACTCACTGAAGCTTTGGTTGTCAAAACCCTAGGACGAAGCGGTCTGTTTAGGAGATGTTCTTACTGCATGAGGAGGAAATGCTGTGGTTGAGGTGACAGGAAACGAAGGAAATCTAACCTAACTGTGCTTCCCACTCATAGTCTCTACGTTGTGTTTCTTCATGGCCCATTTAACATTTTATTTTTTATATTCATGGCCTGGTAAAAAAAAAGGTTAAATCTCTAATTTAGTCCCTGAACTATTGTATAGATACTAAATTTGGTTCTTAAACTAAAAAAATCCTTGATTTGGTCTCTGAACCATTGTATGGATCCTCGATTTGGTCTCTGAACCATTGTATGGACCCTTGATTTGGTCTTTACTATTTACCGATTTACCCCAAATTAGTCCTTTCGTACAAAAAGAAGCTGACGTGTTTAGTATTTAATGACAAAAAATAATAACTTAATGGTAGAACACAGTAACTTTACGGTCACGTGTCACGTTAGTAACGAGACACATAAGTTGTTTTTGTATAGAAGGACCAACTTTGGGTAAATTGGTAAACAATATGGATCAAATTGGGGATCCGTATAATAGTTTAGGGATCAAATTAGAAATTTTTTTAGTTTAAGAATCAAATCATAAATCTATATAATAGTTTAAAGACCAAATTAAATATTTAACCTAAAAAAAAATGAAAATATCCTAAATTATGTCATTTAAGTAAGTATATGTTTTGCCAACTGGGCCTAAGGCCCAATGGTTGGCCCCCCAAACCTTAGGGTTTGGGTACTAAAGCGGAGGTCAGAGTTTCGAACTCTGTTATCGTCGTGAATTCCACCAACTTGCGACTTAATGGCCGCGCGCCTCATCTGAAGGGATAGAATGTTCTTCATTCTAAAAAATCCCAGTTGCTAACAACTAACTTCCTAACCATTATCTTGTCAAAAAAAAAGAAAAAAGTAAGTATCTTTTTTAAAGATTAAGTAGTAAAGTTAAAATATATTTTAAAATAATAAATATACTTTTTCAAATTAATTATTTAAGAATAATTTTTATTTTTATATATATTACTCTTAAAAAAAAAAGAATTAGACTTATATCATGATAGTATAAATAATTAAAATAAAAACAATATTCATAAGATTAAAATAAGAAAAAAAATTTGTCTCTTTTAGAATATGAAAAAATGA